TATTTCCGTTGTAAGGGGAGGGGGTGGGGGGTCCACAGGTCAAAGTTCAGAGATTAAGAGGTCACACAGTTGCACCATCTGGCTTGCAGCACCTCAAAATATCTGGCACCACCTTCAGAACAAAATGCCAACGTCGCAGAGCTCGATGCAAAATKATTTTACCCGTTAAATTTGTATACAAAAGAATAAACTCAAACACCGTTTGTTGTTTTTGTTTACCTTTCCTGTAGAAGCGTTGGTCGTCCCAGCTCGCTCAGATGTTTCGTGTCGACGCCAACATATACAACACATGGTCTGTCTTATCACACAGAGGAACCCTGTCAAAGGGTTATTTGTAGATGTGGATTCATTTCAKCCAAATGAAAACAGCTGCAGACAGAAGCCATCTCTACAGAAATAGTCAGCCAAGCCTTGGGGAAAAAAAAGAAGTGTAAAATGACAGATTAGATGTCCTGTAGTGTATGAGAGGATTCTAGCTGTCAGTGTCTTTATCTTCACAGCCAAGATATTATTCCGTTTAAGATGGATAACTTCTTATTTAACAAAGAGTGATAGTATAGTTTAGTCCAGGGGTTCTTAACCTTTTTGACCTCGGGGCCCAATTTGTTGAACATAAAGTGACACGAGGCCCAGTCAGTTACTAATGTATGGATCAAAATGTTAATTATTCTAAATCTTGGTTTATTTTTTATTGTATTTACATTATAACTAAACTATCATAACTAACATAACTAAATTAAATACACTTACCGTTTAAAAGTAAAACTCATGTTTAATAATCACAAGACATGATTATGACAAATATTTTTATATTGTAACCTGCCCATAACAATAAATATATATTTTTAACATAAACAATAACAAAAATAGACAATTCAAAAAATAAAATTCTGGGCATAAAATAAATAAATTAAAAATGTTTCATGTAAATGTTTCAAATAAAGAAAAAAACTGTAAAATAAATTTGATAAAATACATATGAAAATATAGCATTTTTAAACTTTTGCAACCAGAAGCTGCTCTTCATATTAGTGACAAACAATAACAGTAACAACAGCTTTTTGACAAGTTTAACATTTCTTTAAAATACATTCAAGATGTTTAAAAATAAACTACAAAAAATAATTTAAAGTGCAAATTAAAATATAGTTCTTCAACTGTATTTGATAGTGTTTTGAACTTTTAAAATATTACATGGTAAAAACAGAAGCTGCACTTCATATTAGTGACAAACTTTGGTGTTTTTTGACAAAGTTACTTTCATTTTTGCTTCTACTTTTCATTTAAAATATGGCTGTGTCCAAAACGGCAGGACGGGTCCTCCGAAGGTCGAATTTGTCGGCCGCATACGTCACAGCGCCGCGACGAAGGACGTCCAAAACGGAAGACTCCTCCGATGCGTCCGACAAATACGTCCTTCTTTTTCCCCGAATCGAAGGACAGGTCCGATGGATCCTTCCCGGCCCAGCATATCCCATAATGCATTGCGGCCCGACCGGAGATTTTTTTAAGCTAGTAATGGCGGACGAAATGAGAGAAAAGAATACATTTTAAATAAAAACATGGTGATTTAAAAAAAAATTTAGCGGTTGTAATTCTAATACTTTTATCATTTGTATGGACATGTTTTTAAATATTATTTTTTCGTCATAAAAAACGCGAAATAAACATGAACCGACAGCGGGTCAATTAGTTCTTCAAATGATACTTTTAAGTTAATTTTATAGTTTTGTGATATTAATAATGCTAATGTATTGATAATTTTCTAGTTTTGATTTAAGTTTGCTTGTTTAGCGTCGTCACAGTTGCTAGGTGACAAGACGTACGCCAGGGTAAGGAGGGGAGGCTAGACCGTCCAAATTCACAGCCTCTTTTTTTCCGGTCTTCCCGGTCTACCAAGGACCCGGCCCGCCGAGACCGGGGAGTCTGGGTCCTCCGGAGGACCCGGCCTGTCGTTTTGGACACAGCCTATGTGTCCATTTTCGGAAGGTTTCTAAGTTTCTTCTTCTACATATTAAAAAAGTTGTTAAACATCTGAGTGATGCACTACCACTACTAGTGGTGAGAAGGTGTATTGCRCCTTAGTCCCGCGACCCAAAGTCAAAAACGGTTGTTCTTTTGAGGCCCTCAACCGCGGCCCATGGGTTTAGAATCTCTGGTTTAGGTCATTTTCATCAGTATAAGAAAGGCCTCACATTCTTTAAAGGAATATACATACAGAGCAAAAAGTTTGTTAGCCCTTGTAGCATCTATGAATAAAAGCAGTTGCATTACTGCCCGTTGTTTGCATTGCAGCAGTGAATTATAGTGGGTGGTTTGGAACCCAAGAGGAATTTTGAGAAAATTAAAGGACTTTTTTTTGCACAATCTGTTAGTGAAATTACATAAATCAGTGCTATTATGMAACCCACCCTCACAGACTTAATTTGAATTTAGTCTAACAGAAGTTATGAATTAAAAAAGGAAAGTTGGGTAGAGACCGAAGTCACAAGGTTCTTGTCGGTCAAAGTGACATTCTGGATGTGGAGGGGGAAAGTGAAGGCACTGTCCTGTATGCTAATGAGCTCAGATTAGATTAGATCTGTGTTTAGAAATTACTCAACAAACAAAAACGAATCAGCTTGTTTTTCATGTCTAACCATATTTTCATCACACTGATCTGTTCACTTCAGTTTTTATGAAAAACACTGTTTTTCCCCAACAAATCAGCTTGTTTTGGTCCCCAAGCGTTTCTGTTTTCTCCATCTACCCTGCAGCAGGGTGGAGTTTTCCCTCCGCTCTTTAGCTTGGACAGAGCTTGTTAAGTGACTGTTTCTGGATCAAGTACCTCTTTCCATTACATGGGTGTTTTCAGCAGCAGCCGGCCAAAAGACCAGCCTCCATGTGCACGAAGAGAGCTTATTTCACTGAGTTTTAGAAGATGTGTTTTTCATTTTAAACATAATGAACAAGTGTTGTTGGAAATATGGATTATTTACTTAAAAATGCATATTTTAGGGAAATTATACTAAAATCGGACATACCCCTATTTCCCCTCCTTCATGCACCATCACCCTAGTGTTGTCACAGACCTCCCACACAGAACGGGGGCAGATTTTAGACTGGTTAGAACCACAGAGTAGCTCTGAGAGCAAGTTATTCAGGAGAGGGAAGAGGAAGAAGAGCAGTCAGCTCATGCTACATGTCGCACTCTGGRGGGTTTCCTCTGCAGAGCTTTTCTCACTTTAGTTTGGGAATGTGCGCACAGGTAGGGGTCCGTTTCCTGCTGCGAATGTGGAGTTTGTCGAAGTGTTGTTGGTTAGTCAGTTGGGATGCAATCAGCTGGACTGTGTGACTAATCATCTTGAGGATGTGGTGTGTTTGTGTTTAGGATGGGGGGGCACTGTGGCCGCAGAGCAGGTGATAAAAAGGTGCTGAAATTAGAGAGTTCAGAGAGCTCTCCTTTCACGACTAATGTCTATGTTTATCTGCATGACTGCTGCATTAAAAGTGTGCGTGTGTGCTCATGTCGGGGAATGCATGTACAGGTTGATGCTCACTTGATACCTGAGTGTTTTTACGAGCTGCCTAAATATACAATGATGACTTGATCTGAAAGTAACACCAGCTAAAAGTTGATGAGATGTTGAATTTAGCCAAGAGTCCATTCTAATGACCAAAAACTGAAACTTTCTTACTTTAATTTGGTCTCTATCATCTTGATTAAGATAAGGTTTGTGGTTCTGTAACAGATAAACGTATATGATACACTGTTAACTTGCAATTTCATTATCTTTTTTCACTTTTAATTCTCTCTGTGAAAATCAAAATTCATCAAAGTGTAAAACTAGTAGACTATTTTAAACATATGTCATCAGCGTTAAGTCCAAAACAAGTTTCCCCAATGGGACGAAAAAGTATAGCATCATAATGAATTGTTAGGTTTGTTTCTACTGGCAGTCTAATATTGAACCGTCCCCCCCGGGCACCTCGCCTCGGGTTAGCTAAGGAGACTTTGTAGAGCGCAGCTTGTGTACGCCCACCAAGCTCAATTACAGAGACCGGTATTGACTCACACTGAGATGGAGATATCTGTAAGTCACAGGGACACAGGCAAAGGTTTTATTAAGCTTTTCTTCCAGCTGTAGAAGAAGTGTGGTTGCGTGTTCGTTCGTTGTTGTTGGGAGGTTTCATGGGAGCACTTTTGGATGGGAAGAATTGTCTGATCAGGTATTGTTTTCCTTTTTTATAATGGATCGCAATACAATCTCTTTCTAAATGGTGTACCAGATGAAAAGTTGGGATTTAACTTATGGTAGGATGTTGTGGTCCATAGTGCACTTTGTTTTTCTGATTAAAGAGAAAAAAGGGGTATAAAAACATGTTTGTGCTGTATACAGGAGTGTATTAATCTTTCCCAACGTGTCTCTTGGTTTGTTTTGATTTTTACTTTGGATTTAATCTGGTGGAAACAGCGTCATGCCCTTGCTCCGTCAATGAGGCAGAGTTTCCCATGATGACTAAATCTTGCTGATCAGGACACTTCTGAGTCCTCACAGGATTTTGTTGTGACTGTGGGAATCTACAAGACATCTTCGTGTTCATAACATTATTATTTTTCTTTAAAATTTGCCATTTCCCATTAATGAAAATCATCATCTAAAAATTTGCAAAACCATCTTCTAGAAAGTAAGTTTGTACAAACATCTGCAGTTTTCCCTTGTTCCTCATTTTTTCCACAGTGAGACCTACTGAGTAAGTGTTCATTTCCTGAAGCGGGTACAAAATGTGGACATGGGGCAGTGCCGAATTTAATAGCCGCTGCTCTGACTTTGCCCACAATAACGGCTGATAACTTTAATTTATAGCAGCATGCACATTTTCTCCTTAAAGTTTCAATGGCTATTAGAATATTTAGAAGCCTGAAGACATTTTTCTGTTGTTTTCAGGTTCGAAAAGGTTTTGAAGGACTGAGATTTTTTCAATTAGACTTCTAAATAGACTTTTTGTTTTGTTTTTAGAAGTCAACCATACCCAAGGACCCCTTGACGGCAGCCTGTATGCAAAAGTTCGCAAAAAGGAGTCTATCGAAGAAACAGTCACGTCTAACGGCCTTCCACCCACTGCTGTTGACCATGCACTACCTGCCGTTGACCATGCCCTATCGGTGAGTAGTGACTCAGGAAATTCCACTGCTTCCATCAAAACAGACCGAACAGATGAAGCAGCAGCAGTCCCTCCAGCCTCCACAGTAAGCCAGACACACATTACTGTGAGAGAGGAAGTACCTACAGTCCAACACCAAGCCCCGCCTTCACAACAATCAATCAGTCCCAAAGAGAAAAAGGAACTAGAGCAACTACTGAGTGGATTGGAGGGGCCCACGCACCGACAAGCCTACCTGTCCACCCCGACATCTGCTGCTGGGATGCTTCACCTGGTGCCAGCCCAGGTCCATGTTAACGGACACAGTGGCATTGATCGTGAAACTGACATTTTGGATGATGAGCTGCCTACCAGTCAAGAGGGCAACAGCGTGGACAGCCTTGGAACCTTTTCCTCAACAGACGGCCGAGCTACACCAGCTGATCTCTACTACCAGTCTGAATCACTAAGCAATGGCCAGGAGCACGTACCATATCTGGAGCGCATCATCCCAGAAAAGCCTCTGGAATCTGTTCACTCACAGGTTAGCAGATTCGATAAACCTGTCTCTATGACCAAAAGTGATTCAGCCCCGTTCTCTGGTGATTACATGGCRACCCAAAACAGCAGCCTGTATCGCTCTCAGTCTTTTGGTGAAGATCCAAAGTCTATGCCACAGGCTCCAGCCCGCACCACCAGCAGCAGAGATGCCGTCCAGCGTGGGCTCAATGTTTGGCAGAAGTTCGGAGTACCCGAGGAGCCAGTCACTGAAGGCATCACTTTCAGTCCACCTCCATCTGCATCAATGTCYGGCCACCACAGTTTGCCACAGTTCCCACATCATCGCAGTGCTTCCCAGCAAGAGATTGAGCAATCTATTGAAACTCTAAACCTACTAATATCGGACCTACAGCCCAGCCATGCAGTTATGACAAAATCTCTAAGYGCTCCACTTAGAGAAGACAACACTGTTGTGACCACCCAACCTTCCGTCTCCCAGAACCAAACCAGGCCGTCCTACCAGACTGGTACTGCTCACATTTCTAGTCCTGCGTCTGGCCTGACCAACCTCCCATCAATAAATCAGATGTTCTTTGACAAGCCTGCTTCACCAGAGCCTACACCTGTCTATGGAGCTCCAARTTACTCTGCTGGAACATCTAGAACCACCGTCCAGCTCCAGTCTCCAGAGRTCTTTGAGTCCCAAAGAAATGCTGCCTCAGCGTCGCCGCAGCCGAGAGACGGGAATGAAGTCTTCAACGTGGAGGGACTGGTGGCCCAAAGGGTTGCAGGTAAGACCACACACAAAATAAATCTTTTTAGGGCACCCCACAGAGAAAAATAGACTGTTAAAATCTAAATAAATACAGTCCAGTTTAATCAAATAATGTTTAATTCAATTTAGTTAAATTAAGTCCAATATAGTCGCATAAAATTACAGTGCATTGAAGCTGAAGGCAATTTAGGTGTAAGTTTTTGATCCAGTAATATTCCATAATTTATAGTTTAAATCAGTTTGGTAAGTTTTTGAATGGACAACATGGACAGATTTGTGGACAAATAATGTTTGATCTAAACAAGATGGTTTTGTGAAAAAGAATAATGGTGGATCAGAGTTTGTTTTTTTTTGTGGGGGGGGCTTTGAAATGTAGACTCCAGCAGGAAGGAGCCTTGTGCAGTGACTTGTACCACAGCGGGAGTGGTTTCCCAGGACTGTTGGGCGTCAGTCTAACCAACGCCGAACAGTCGATGCGTGGTTACGTGGTTGTTCAGCATTCGTTTTCGCACACACCTTTCATAGCTCCTGAAACACCATGCCGAGTTCCTGGGAAACCTCTCCTGCTGTGGTACACGTCACTGCATGATGTTCCTTCTCGCTGGAGTCTATACTCCGACAAAAAACAAAAAAACTCAGATCCGCCATTAATGTTTTCACAAATCCGTCCCTGTTAGATCCGTCATTGTTTGTCCACAAATCTGTCCCAGTTAACGCTCCACACGGACTCCTCCATACAAAAACGTCTTTTTATCAACACTCGTGAGTTTTTGTCCATTTGACGATCTTTATAAACGTCTGCTTCTGGTTCAACAGTCACATTCTGGAAGCGAGTAGTGGGAGCAAAATGTACCGTCCGAGCGCTTTCATCATAAACAAACACACCCACAAACTTCTGACCAATCACACATAAACTTCTTAGCCAGAGGGGGGTAAAAAGGTCTGCCAGCGGGGTGTGACAAGAAGGGATGGCAGAGTTGACGATGAGAGCACGGTGACGTCGTTTTCRTCATGAAACTGCGACAATCCGAGCTGACATCAGCTGGTCCGAGGGAGGATAAAGACACCTTTAGTCTCTCTTGTGCTTCTTAGCAAACAGCATTGATTTTTTTAAAACCCAGAGTTGACTTTAATCTGTTTTTAATTACAGCTCAGAAAGTTTAGTGAACAGTAGTGTTTGTGATATTGGCCATATCCTGTAATGTAAACACGGCTGTGCCATTATCTCAGTTCCTGGCTGTCACCCCATCAGTCCCCATCAGTCARACTCAAACAGGAAGAGTTCTCTCCAGTCCAGCAGGTTGACAGAACTCAGATAAGAGTATCAGACATCCTGCAGAGCTGTTCGGTGTATGACAGAGTCAACATGAGGCAGAGCGATAGCTGAGCTCTCAAATAACAAACACCAGAATCAAAGCTTCATTTCACTTTATCGACGTTCAATTGTTGAGAAACTGTTGACATTTCAAAGCCTTGAACTACGAGTAACGTGCCTGTAAGAACAGTTTGATTTCATTTTTAAATTCAGCTTTATTTTTGTGTTTTTACAAGACTTAAAGAGAAAGTGTCGTCTTGTTCTTTTCAAACGACTGACCTCGAATTCTCCTCTCRTCTTCCTTTTAGTTTGATCATAACCCCTCTCCTTTCTTCCATCATTCATCTGTTTTCCCAGAGTACTCGGCTCGTGTCAAAAACATCGTCCCCAGCATGACCTCTTCTCAGTCTGAGCACCGCCGCTCTCACTCCCTCTCCGGTTGGTTCTCTCATCCTGTCTGAAGGAACACTTCAAGGAAACAAAAAAAAAGGAGATCTTGCTCTTTTTTCTCCCCGAAGTGTTTCTTTGAACCAAGTGAAAAAAAAATCTGTTTTGATTTATTTATTTTTGTGTGTGTGCACTGGGTTTTAGTTTGCAGCTTTCTTTTATTTCTCCTCATCTCTTTCACATTAAAWACAATCATCTAACTAACAGATTTCGCTGCTGATGCATGAATTTTCTGTTTGTGTTGAGTTAACTTTTGGAAGTTAAAGAAGTAGCCCCTAAAAATGAAGTCCACACAACCCACTTGGATAACATTAAAGTTTCACAGGAGCAGTWCAAAGGAGGCACAAAGGAGGCTCTGTCCCCTGCCAGGAGAAAACATGTCACAAGATCCGTTCTGCCAAACTTGGGGGAACAATACTGAGGCCAAGATACACTGGCCTCATTCAGAGCCACTTTTTAATCACTTACAAACCATTTTCATGATGTACAAAGGCAGACAAAAACATCTAACGTAAAAAGATCGATTAATCGTGAATTAAGCTGAATTTGTCCTCTGAGAACTACACACCTCAGTCCAGACAGGATTGTTCTGGATTCAATATCTCAGACTGTAAAATCCTTCCCAGYGATGCAATATTATAGCAAAGTTAAACACGAGGTTGTGCAGGTGGAATTAATAAAATCTATGATAATTAAAAGATTTATTTATTTTGTGTTGAAACAACAGGAAATAATCCTCAGATGACGTTTCTGGAGTACATCATATTTCATACACTACAGTGGGTTGTAAAAAATGCACCTTGCCTTGGTGAAGTCTCAAAACAGATAAGGCAGATTAACATATTGTAGACCCTCCAACATATGGAAGATGTGTCATTAGACTAAAATATTTTTAAACCATCATGAACACACTCCCCACAGTGAAGCATGGAGGTGGCAGCATCATGATGTAGGGGTAGATTTCGTCAGGAGGGGATGGGAAAATAAATAGGCAAAATATGGAGAAATGTTTTTAGGGAAACCTGTTGGAGTTCCCCAGAGGTTTGAGACTGATATATACACTCACCGGCCACTTTATTAGGTACACCACGCTAGTAAC